GTTGGACAGTTGTTGATAAGGGAGATGGGGGGGGGGGGGGGGGTTAGATTAGTTGACGTCAACAATCATGTTTTTTTCTATTAAAATTTTAATCTTAAAAATTGACTGGTTCTTACATTATTTTAAACAATTTTTGTAATGTTTGTAAATAGCCATATATGTTTAGGCTTTTAGCAATATTGGTTATTGCTCACACAGACAATACTTCCATTTTAATTGCTGAATAGTTAGATAAGGATGATGTTGACTTGTCAGGTATATCAGTTCTGCAAGATGAAAATGATAAATCAGCTACTATAGATTATGCCCACCGGGGCGTCATTTCAGGTTTTTTCAGGGGAAGGGAGAGGGTGACAAAACCAAAACTTGTTCGGCTTCTTAAGATGTTTATTACTGGAGGTGCCACAGTACATAGCATTACTGCCCTACCCAAATGATGTTCCTAATGCCTATTGTTACGATAGAGCAACACCTGGCTACTCCATGGGAAGATAATAGCAGCTAGAAACTATACTATAATTGTCAGCTATACTGAGTAACTGACAATAATCATATTTATACTACTAAATGTAGTAAAATGTTTTTCCTACAATTTTGTTATTAAAAATAGATCAGCACAAATTAAAATGTATTTATAAATTTATTTATATTATAATTCATTTTTTGGAAAGGGGTGTGGGTATAAAATGTTGACATAATTAAATAGGGGGCATTGAAAGTTTGACAGTTGTTGACAAGGGGGAGGGAGGGAGTCCAAAATTGCGGAAAAATTGTTGACGTAATTAATGGACGACCCCTAAAGAAAAAAGTGCAACCAAGCTCCGTCCCACTCAACACTTTTTTCAATTGTTTTGCTGCCCTCTCTGATACTACATCTCAGCTAAATGATATTTAAAATTTTTATTCTTATTCTGTTTTTTTTTATAAATTTTGTTTGTTCGCTGACGAAGGCTTCCTGTCGACACGTTTGTTGTTTTGTTGCGTTCCTTTTTCCGGGTTTGACCATTGCATTGTTTTAATCATTTACTATTTTGCTAACCTGATTGCAGTTCCTCCCCTTATTATTACCCTTTCCTACGTCACTGGTCATTTTAAACCACCCTTCTCAGTCAGGGTGAACTGCATGCAGTCCGCACCCCTTGTGTGCTACTGCCTTACTGCAAACAATCTTAGATTTTAATAAATATATTATAATTATATGTCAGGAAATTTGAATACATTTCTGTTTTCGTATTGTTTTGCAAAGTAATCGTTTCTTTTTAATGGCTATTTAAAATGTGGGGAGGTATTTATATTTTGTAATTCATTGTCAAGAATGTTGGTTAATTTTATAAACTAAATTCTGCGCAACAATTGCTATTTCTTAGACTTAAGAAAACTGACGGAGGGTTGAAATGGTGGGGAGTAGAAACACCACTCTAGTCGATGATGTAATTTAGGTCATGTATATTTAGTACATCATCCGGGTCTTGCGGAGGTTACGCATGCCCAGACAGCACATCCTCCATCTTATGTTTGTTGTGTATCGCATGTTTCAGGTTGAATTTTCAACTCGGAAGAATTGAGCCTAATGGTTAATTTTCTCCATTTTCATTAAGTTGGAGAAAAATTGAGAACATTATCCACCCTTAAACATTATTTAAGTAAGCTTGAGTATTATGTGTGTTATTTTGTTGGCTAATCTGACTAAAAATGTAGTTGACTCATCATTCGGCCATGAATGTTAAAAACAACCAAGAACAGAAGGCGGTACATGACGGAATGGCGACGCAACTTAAATGAAAGAAACTTAGTAAATTTCTCATAAAAGTGTAAACGCTTAAAAGTTGAAGCTAGTCTAAAATCACATTTTGCTAAAGAGTAAAAAAAACTACATATTAGTTTTAAGATGAACATTTTTACATTATAGCATTCTTTAAAAAATAATTATACAACTCCTCTTGAGATGTGGTAGTATAATCACAGTGAGGTCAGGTAGTGGTGTATTAACAAGAGGTCTGTCTTGTCTGGACAGAACTGATTCAACATGAATATTTTAAAAACCTTATTGAGTGAATGTATTTTAAGTATCAAACTTGGCACGAACTAACACACACACACAGGTTGTTATTCCTTCAAGTTCATGCATGTTAACCCCACTCAGTCTTGGGTCACTTGCAACCAGTAACCATCAAATTGTTTTGAAGGCAATCAAAAATTAAACATTGGCCAATATCTTTAAAGTTTAAAGACTGCAGTTTATTGTAAATATTATTAGCAAGTTTTTTTACAATGAACTTCATCATAGTGTTACATTCAATGCACACATTAATAAACTCTAGTCTAGATTTAGGGCTAGGCCTTACTTTACTTTATGATTTATGCCATAATTAGGCGCCTTAAATATGCCTTATAGTAGCCTTGGTACTGTGTCTAATAATCCAGAATTATGAGTCTAACTTAATGTGTAGGCCAATTTCCTTAAAACTATGTTTACTGTATTCCAGTGTTTCCCAAAGTGTGGTATGTGTACCCCTAAGGGTACATGCAGAGTTTTGTGGGAGTACACGCTGCAAAAATGTTTTTATTGTTATTAAAGTATATGCAATTTTCTTTTAACAAGGGGTACTCAGTGTTAAGAAAGTTATAGACGGGGGTACACAGATGTCGAAAGTTTTGGAAACATTGCTCTATTCCATAGTTAAATGTCTTGCTCTCTGGTTATATTAGTTTTACCAGTTTTTTTAAATAATCAAAATTATTTGTAGAAAAGTGATGGACAGGGTTATAGCTGGGCTTAACTCTTAGACACAGCTTGGGCTTAACTCTTAGACACAGCTTGGGCACAATTAGCAACTTTAAGGTTAAGCCCTTGAATTTTCATCATTACCAGTCACTACTAAGGCTAATATTCTACAAATGCATTTTTGTATGCTTGTCATTTGATTAACAGGTACTTAAAATGATAAAAATCTCCCAAATTTTTTAGAAGGCCTGGTTTGTGCCAAATCAAAATAAAGTATAAAGTTGTAAATAATTCTTCATAAAGGTTATAGTGTCATTTCGCAATTCCCTGGGCTGGGATTTCTTTTTTCCCCACTTTTGGATTTGTTTTAAAAGGGATATCAATTTTACCCAATAAAGCGGCTAAGAATATGATTTTTCAAATTTTTTCTGTGCAATTAATACTTGAATAGCTTGATTGAACGAAACTAACACGTTTGAATATGTTATTTTTGTCCTTATTATTATGTTAGTATTATTCATACAATAAACCTTGCATGGTATGTCACCGATTTTTTTCCTGTTACAGCATGTGTACTACAAGGAATAATTTTTAAAATCATTTATGTGAGTCTTACCCTATAACTGTCATGTGCTCAGTGCCATCAAGCCATTTTTAGCATTTTGATATACCTGTCTAAAATAACTAAATCGTATGAAAATTGAATTCATATACCCTAACATGTATGCATTTTTGTTGAAAATACCGGGTACATAAGATAATGAATCAAATGGTATGAAAAAAGAATTAGTTTTTATATTATGTAAGTTTATATTGACCATGACCTTTCACTATTCTGCATTCAACCCACCCTAACACTCTCTTTGTTATTCTTTCATTCACTTAATCAGGTTTTTAAATATTCTTTCAGAAAATGTCAATTTATAGGTACCGGGTACTTAATTTGAGAGATGTTATTTTGATCAATTGTTTTTATTTACTCCGGGGGGTGGGGGGTGCGCACAAAAATTTGATCTACAAAATGCCTTTTCATTGAAGTTATTTTTTAATCAATTTTGTATTAACACTCCAGATCATATATACAAACATAAATGTCTTTCAATCTCTTTAGAGTAGGTTTTTGGGATCCAATCGTTCTCTTTTCTGTTCAATTTCCACCCTTCCAACATGTCTTTAACAATATGATAAACTTAGTACTAAAATTGTCGATATCTCAGTGTTGTCGCAATCACTGCTAGTGCTTATACTAACTATCATTCACTATCACATGGAATATCTCTGAAATCATTGGTTTCATTTGAATCCATTTGAAAAAATTCCAAAAAAGAAAGTCTGTGTTAATTTTGAAATCTAGAGGGACCCTCTCCAGCATCGTTCATAATGGCAGTCAATATCTCTTCCAATTAATCATGAAACAAGCCCTGATAAAAGCGCGTTTTCATACAGAGACTGAAATTGCAAGAAAACTCATTTCTATAAAGTGATTTGCCCGTAACCCACTTACATTAGATCAATACCCATTTTGAATGATGATTTAGCTAACACCTGATTATATAGGCCATGACCCCACAGAGAGGCATAATAGCAGATAATCTACCTTTGTAACTGTGTTGGAGTTAAAAATCAGTAGTACATTCTGTGATGTCTTAAGATAGAACATACATCATTTAATTCAAAAGATCCAGTTTAGGGATGACCAGCACAGAAAACTTTAAGTGATACATAAACATATATATGTGACTTTGTACATTAAGGCCCTCATTGTCAGAGTCACTACTAGAATAAAAAAATACATGGCCAGCAGGGAAATTAGGTATCAAATTTTGCCTTAAAAAGATAACAACTGCATGTCAGGTGCTGCTGAGGGGACTCTGCTCTTGGACCCATCCAAGCTCATTGTCCATTCAATATATTTTTTAAAGTGTAAGTTAAATTAGTAATATTTCCTTCATATTTACTTTCAAACACATGAAATGAAGTCCATGGAATTAATGTACTAAAGCAAAAATATTGCTAACCTCTTCTGCGGAGAACATGCTAGTAGAATAAAAATACATGGCCAGCAGGGCAATTAGTTACCCAACTTTGCATTAAATAGATAATTAATGCATATCATGTGCTTGGGGGGGGGGGCACTCTGTTCTTGGACCCACCCAAGCTCAGTATCCATTTAATATATTTTTTAAATTATAATATAATTTAGTAATCTGTCCTTCATATTTACTTTAAAAAAATCTCTTTAACACCAATGAAGTACATGGAAGTAATGTACCGTACTAAAGGAAAAATATTCATCATCATCAATGGCACTACAGCCCATGTAGGGCCCTGGCCTGCTCCACCACATCCTTCCATTCGGAGCGATCCATGGCTTTCCGTCTCCATGCTCGAACCCACAACTGGTGTAAATCTGTCTCCACATGATCAATCCACCTTATCCTTGGGCGAACGATGAGTCGTCTGCCCCTAGGCTTTTGGCTGCTCTGCATTCCGGCATCCTTTCAACATGACCTGCCCAGCGTATTCTGCCTTTTTTTATTATTGTGACTATAGGTGGTTCTTTGTACAAATAGTAAAGTTCATGGTTTGTACATATTCTCCAGATATCATTTTCTATCACTGGTCCGTATATTTTGCGGAGGATTTTCCTCTTCCATGTGTTGAGCAGGTTCTCTGCTTTTCTGGTGAGGGTCCAGGTCTCACTAGCGTACGTTACTACAGGTCTTATGATGGTGGTGTATATTGTCTTCTTTGCTCCCCTTAATAGGTTTTTGTTTCCCAGTAGCTTTTGTAGACTGAAATAGGAACGGTTGCCTGCTGTTATCCTTTCTTTCACCTCTGACATTCTCTCATTGTGCTCATTTATAGTTGCCCCTAGATATTTGAATGTGGCCACTCCCTCAAATTTGTGGTTGTTTATATTGATGTTATCATCAGCATGGGAGTTTCTTGAAATTATCATATATTTTGTCTTCGGTTCATTTATATCAAGGCCAGCTTTGAATGAGGCATTTTCAAGTTCCCCAAATGCTTTAATTATGTCATTACGGTTTCTACCCAGTAGTGCTATATCATCTGCATATGCCAGGTACTGCAATGGTTGGCTATATAAGGTTCCTGATGGTCGTTGCTCTGTAGTATCTCTCTGGAAATAGTTTGTTATGGTTCCACTGGTGCTAATGTGAATGGTTCTAATAACTTTTTCTTGCTTGATGTTAAACAGGATACATGATAGTGAGTCTCCTTGTCTGAGGCCCCGATTAACCATGAACTCCCTAGAGTATTCTCCCTGAACCTTGATTCTACTTTTGGAGTTGGCCATTGTCATGTGTATGAGCCGAGTAAGCTTGTTAGGGACTCCCAAGTTCTTGTAAAGCATTGTATAAGTAATTCCTGTTTACGCTATTGTATGCTGTTTTGTAATCCACATATAGTTGGTGTATGTCGATGTTATATTCGTAGCATTTCTCTAGGAGACATCTTATAGTAAAAATATGATCCGTGGGTTGACCTATTCTGCCGGAATCCACATTGATAGTCCCCTTGGATCTGTTCACTATACTTTTCCAGTTTTCTCGCTATAAGTTTTGTGAGGATTTTGTACATTACATTAAGAAGGGAGATACCTCTATAGTTTGAGCAGATCAACTTAGATCCCTTTTTGTGAATTGGGATTATGAGTGCCGTGTCCCATTCAGTTGGCATTTCTTCCTCCTGCCAGATTCTGGTTATAAGTTCGTGGATTTGCCTATGCAGTTCGCTACCACCTAGCTTTATGAGTTCTGCAGGGATAAGGTCTATTCCTGGGGCTTTGTTATTTTTCATGGTGGAGATTACATCTTTTATTTCATTTAAAGTTGGTTAGTTGACCAGTGGGTCCGGTCCTCCTTGTGGCGGGGCGTAATCCTCATTGGTTCCTCCACCTGAGCCATTCAGTAAGCCTTCAAAGTGTTGTGCCCATCTCTCTAGTACTCTACTGCTCTCTGTGATCAATTCTCCATCCGTGCTTTCACACATATGGGATCTTGCTTGAAAGCCATTCTTTTCCTGCTTTATCTTCAGGTACATTCCCCTCACATCTCTTTCTTTTGCCAACTCTTCTATCTCTACTATTTTTTATTTTTCCCAAACACGTTTTTTCTTTCTGCAAATTTTGCTGGCCACCCTTCTTGCTTCATTATATAATTGTCGTGTTCTTCTTGTTTCCCTTTGCAGCATCATTAGCCGAGCTTTGTTTCTTTGTTCTATAAGTTCTTTGCATTCTGCGTCATACCATCCTGTTCTTTTCACTGCTGGTTTAAATCCAACAGTTTCCTTTGTTACACTTGTGACTATTTGCTTCATCTTTTCCCATTGCTGGTTTATATCAACGTTGCTGGCTGATTCTCTTTAGGATAATTCTAGTAGAGTTTCAATCTTCTGTTGATATTCCTCAGTAATTTTTGGATCCCTACAAAGTTTCTGACTATTGTACTGTTTTTCTCTTTTATTTTGTTTATTGTGGATGTTACAAATTCTTTGCTTATATTTGATTCTAACAAGCATGTGGTCAGAGTCAATGTCCGCCCCTTTACAACTTTTCACATCTGATATGTCCGAGCCATGCCTCCGGTCGATGAGTACATGGACTATTTGATTACGGGTAAATCCATCTGGAGATATCCATGTCGCTTTATGTATTTGTTTATGTTGAAATACTGTGCTACTGATTATCATTCCTTTTCCAGAGGCGAAGTCTATAAGACGTGTTCATTTGTCATTGCTCTCATCATGCATACTTTCCTTTCTGATTGTTGGTCTGTAGACTAGTTCTTTCCCAAATTTCACATTGAAATCGCCAAGGACTATTTTGATATCATGTCATGGAGCCTCATCAAATATTCTTTCCAGTGTTTCGTAGAAATTTTCCTTCATGCTTTCATATGTATCTTCCGTTGGAGCATGAGCGCAGATTAACGTGATGTTAAACATTTTTCCTCTAATCCTTATGGGGCATAATCTTTCACTCACTGGTTTAAACCCAATGACTGCATTTACTGTCTCTCTTTTGACTGCAAACCCTGTTCCTAAGGTATTTGTGTTGTTTCCACAAAGGAAAAATATTGCAAACCTATTTTGTCGACAACTTACTATTTACACCGCTAATTCACATGCAGTAAATAAACTACACACAGACAAATGTGATTAAAAACTCCGTCTGTAGAATTATCTGGATGTGGATTTCTCTTTGTGCACAGTCGTATTATGTGGAATACTTTTATTGGAATTCTTTTGTTGGGAATAATCTGTTCATAATATTAGTTATTCCAACTTGCTAGACACAATATAAATTTTTAGATATTAATCTGGAAAATCTAGTTAAATTGCAAAACCCAATCATATTTCAGTCTTTGCTATTTTTTTCTATTTGGGATATGGTCATCAATGGCACACACCTGGCCCTTTTCAAAGCTACATACAACACTACCAATGAATTGTTAGAATTATTTTTTTGTCTACAGTCCAGTTGTAAGGGTCAAATGTTCAGGATTACGGGAGTGCTTACTACTTTCCTTTACCCATTTGTAATTATTTTTCTCTTATTAACCTGAATGTCGTTAGAAGTTCTTTGTAATTGATATATGATTTTTTTTTGAAATGCCCACAATAACTTAATCTGTCTGCTCCATATTGTTTTAATTTTGTTTGGTTTACAAATCATCTGGTATAAATTTTTTCTCATTGCCTTCTATACTTTACCGGTTCTCAAAACCTAATTTGATTCCTACACTTCATTTTCTTCAACCTACACTTGTTCTTACCTTTAAAAGTAAATGAGTTTAAACTTATTAGTTATAGGCAATTTATTATAGTTACTGCAAATTTTTATTCACAAAACTTTGAACCAGGATGTTTGAAAAATTAGTTAATAATCATTAGCTGGTCCAGAATTAAATTACTGCCATATAAAAAAACTGGTGAAATTAGAAACTCAGCAATTTCTGGTAATTCTAAGATCATCTTTCTCAAAATAAAATGAGTAAAACAGAGTAGGGTTAAACCTGAAAAAATAAACGCAACAAAACAGCGAACGTGTCGGCAGAAAGCCTTCGTCAGCGAACAAAACAACAGAAAAAACGTTATATAAAAAAAGAAATAGCACTTAGCTGGTAAGTAGTATCTGTGGGCAGCAATAGAAGTGTAGAAGCACACTTCTATTGCTGCCCACAGATACTACTTACCAGCTAAGTGCTATTTCTTTTTTTATATAACGTTTTTTCTGTTGTTTTGTTCGCTGACGAAGGCTTTCTGCTGACACGTTCGCTGTTTTGTTGTGTTTATTTTTTCAGGTTTAACCCTACTCTGTTTTACTCATTTTATTTTGTACTAACCTGATTGCAGTCTCTCCCCTTATTACCCCATCTTTCTCAAAACATTTTGTTCATTCTTTCTCTCAGACTATAGTCTAAAAATTATTTGAATTGTATAAATTTTGTCTATAAGTTACTATAAGAATTAAAATTCTTACGGTAGGGAATATTTGTAGTTCATTCATTGGTTGTCCTAGAGTTCCAAGTGGAGAAAATGTAATTTCATTAGGATATTAAATGACTAATGTATACCTTGAAACACGTTAACAAAAGAATGTTCTAAAGTAGAATGAGAAGATAAGTTTGGTTTTCTAGAAAATTCTCAGTAAAATTTGTATTTTATAATAGAAGAAACATTTAGTGAAGTATTCATGAAGTTACAAGTCTCCTCTATGATTTACATAAAATCTTGTTTTCACTGAAAATGTAAAAATAATGAACCTAATAAAAATATTATTTGTCATTTTTTATTTCATAGTTAAACAGATTTTGTTAGTGCTGTTTGAAATCTATAGTTTTTACTTTTCTTGCTGTTTTTTTTTAAATTTAAATTTTATCTGTTCTTCTAAGGGTGGTAGGTCACAGTGGAGTAGCTAGAGCATGTGATGCTTGGGATTGTCCTTGAGACCCTCACAAGCTGGAAAGCTTTTTTTTTTTTTTTTGCGTTATGTAAACTGCGAACATTGAAAAAAAAAAGTTGGCGCCCTTTTTTTTTTTAAAGTGGTACTAGTAATATAACAAGTGTTGTGGCTGATTAGATCAACAATTTTTGTGGTGTATTTCCAAATGTGAATAAAAATTGTGCTTTCCGGGGTGTCATTAAAGATCCAGTAAAGGAAAAAAATCACAAAAATGTTGTGAATTTGTTTTAGAAACAACAATTCGCAGAGCATCTCAAACATTCAGGGGGCATAAATTGAGGGCACTGAAGGCTCATGATCGATAGAAGGGGAGTTGTATGGGGAGACCTCTGTTGTTCTGTGCCTGCATGGCTCTCCCCTGGTTCTAACATAGAGTAGGCATCAAACATATATATTGAACATTCAATTTTGGCCTAAAAAATGCTGTGTGTTTGCAGCGGACTGCTCACTCAGTCCTGTCCCCCCCACCTCCTGTTCTTCCTACACCTTTTGAGGTGCTCAGGTGGGGTATGGGACAAAAAAGATTGGTAAACACTTATGTAAAGAATCACTACATATTTCTAAAATATGCAAATTTTTCTCCGAATAAAAATAATGATCATGGCATCAGTATTCCTTCTTCCTTTTATTTAAAGCTTCATAAGTCAGGTTTTTTTTTTTGTATGCATACATCCTAATTTTGTTTATCAATTTGTTTTCAGATAATAAAATGGGGGCATTTTTAGACAAGCCAAAGACTGAAAAACATAATGAGGGTGGTGTGGGAAATAGGTTACGCTATGGCCTCTGTAGTATGCAAGGCTGGAGAGTTGAAATGGAAGATGCACACACAGCAGTAGTTAGCATCCCCCATAATCACCTTAAAGACTGGTCATTTTTCGCTGTCTTTGATGGCCATGCGGGTGCTAGAGTTTCAGCTGTGTGCGCGGAGGAACTATTGGAACATATAACTCAAAATGAAGACTTTCGAGGAAAACCAGACTTGACAGATGGCACTGAGATCCAGCCTTCCATTGAAGATGTTTTAGCTGGAATTAAGAAGGGCTTCCTTAACCTAGATGAGAAAATGCGAGCAATGCCAGAGGTGGTTAGTGGGGAAGATAAAAGTGGCTCTACAGCAGTATGCAGTATTGTGTCTCCCAAACATATCTTTTTTGCTAACTGTGGAGATTCGCGTGCAGTATTGTGCCGAAATGGCAGATGTGCATTTGCCACCACTGATCATAAACCTGTTAATCCTAGAGAGCGTGAGAGAATTCAAAATGCTGGTGGTAGTGTCATGATCCAGCGAGTAAATGGCTCATTAGCCGTTTCACGAGCGCTTGGAGACTTTGAATATAAAAATGTAGAAGGAAAAGGTCCATGTGAACAGTTGGTGTCGCCAGAACCAGAGATTTCAGTCATGGACCGCAATCCTGATGACCAATTTATGGTATTGGCCTGTGATGGCATTTGGGATGTTATGTCAAATGATGAACTCTGCGCATTCATAGAGTATAAGATGAAAATAACTCCCAGTCTAGAAGAAGTTTGTAATCAAGTAGTGGATACCTGTTTAATCAAGGTAAATGGTTAATTCTTTTTTTTTTTTAACACTTCTTTGATAATGATAAAATAGGAACTATTTACTTAGATATCTAGTGATAAATTAATGTTAAAATGTTAAGCCATCTTTGTTACATTTTTTTTTTTTGTGTAACCATTACAAAAGTTATGCATAACTTGATTTTATTTCCAGACCAATGACCATAATATTTTAACATTTTTGTTTCATAATTACCCTTACAATCCATTAATGGAGTTAATATTATTTTGTCAATTTTATTTTTGTAATGAATTGATACATTTTTTAATACTTTGTTTTACAAAATTTTGACATTTTTATCTTCAGGGCAGCAGAGATAATATGAGTATTGTATTAATAGCTTTTGAAGGAGCACCGTCCGTAACAGAGGAATCTGTTAAAAAAGACAAGGAACTTGATGAAAGAATTGAGTCCAAAGTTAAAGGTATGTATATATTAATCATTTTTAGAGTAAGGAGAGTTACCATCTTAATTTTCTGTATATAAAGTTCAATTTTTTTTTATTATGAACAAACTGAGGTGTTGAAGAAATTTAATTTTTAAATTATATTTTATTAACGAAATGTTACTTATAATTGTTGATTTTAGACTTAGATTTAAATGCAATGCATGAATTTTTTACGGTATAGAAAAAAAATATCTGCTTGTCTTCAAAATAATTGGTGTCCTCCAGGTCCAGTGACTAAAGCTCAAGTGCTAGCTTATATTGTACAGTTTCAGTGATGTTTTACTGCCAATTTAGTAGACTCATCTTAAATGTCTTAATGCAAAAATATCAAGGACTGTTTTGTTTTATTGATAATAAGTTACAATACTTCAAAAATATTTTATAACAAAAAGAGCAACATTAATGCTCTTAGAAAAAATACTCTAGGCAAAATAAGAGATAATAAAAAAAATAATAACATAACAGTTATAATAAAATGTTGTAATTTACATTTAGCTTCTTACTTTATTTATTAGAAATTCTTGAAAGAGAGCCACAGGAAAATCATGACTTTGGTTATGTTTTGCATGCTGTTGCTGAGGAATTACATGAGCAATTCCCCCCTGGAGGGGGCTTTCAGAGCAAGTAAGCTAGAAAACATAAATATAAAACTCATTATTTTTTTTTAAAGTAATATTAAGCTCAACTATTACTCTTTATTTTTTGATTAGTCTTGTGAACACCCTGAACACATTAAATGCGTTTGTACATTTTCTAAAATTTAAAGACAGTTTAATGAACATTGCATTGTATATTTTCATGTGATGCACAAACTGACCAAACCTTATTAAGACATCTATTAAATGTTTACTTTTTTTAAAATATATTCTTTATGTAAGATTATGGGAATTAAATGACTAAAAAAGTTTTTTTTTTTTTTAAAGCAAGGATTAATGTAGTAATATACTTTGCATGTTTATTTTTCTTTACCATTTGTTTACATTGTCCGCTTGATTTTAACTCAATTTGAATTAAATTAATGCATGAAATCTTCTTTTCAGAAAATCAGTTATTGAAAGTGTGTACCATAAACTCAGTCCTAACGATGAACAAGAAGTGAGTAATAATTATTCAATTTATTCAATATAGAGTTTTTAAATTCAATAAGTCTTTTCTTTTTCAAAGCACCAAATTTATTAGGTATTGTCGATATTCTTCAGACTGAAACAAATCAATGTGGAGCGAGTTATTAATTTACTGTAGCAATCATTTGGGGCTAATGATTTTGATGCTGACACCTGATTATACCTATTTCTGTGAAACTTTCAACCATAGTTATTCCAGATTTCAGTGTCAGACCAGAATTCAAGAGCAGATATAGTAAAAAAAAATTTCACTGTCTTATAGCACAGGGGTCAGCAACATTTTGATATTAGCATCCCAAAGTAAAACTAATTCCTTCAGCTTGCCAATAACTTATAAGTCTACCATTTGAGGCGCATTTTTTTAGTCATTTATAATTATTCTTTGGTCTTCCCCGTGTCAATGAAAAGTTCTATGTGTCCCAAGTAGGTTGCCAACCCCTGTTATAGCAGATCTAATAAAAGTAATCTTCTTTATTGTATTTATAGAAAGCTGTGTATGGTCAATCTCTTTCGCTTTGAACAACTTTGGATTTTGAAAGTGCTTAGTATTTGTCAGCTAAGGTGTGTTTTGTAATGAGCAATTTTCAAAAAGTTCATTTTTGTGAATTTTATTCAAAACCTTTTAGACTGCCGCATATTGGAGAAAATAAAATGTTCTGTGGCTTTATAATTGTGTTCATGGGATTAATATTTGGTTACAGTCCCAGGTTTAAAAAGAGTTCGTCATTGTATTTGCTTACTGGTTGTGAAACTACCACATAAAGGATTAAAATAATTCTTTCTATTGACTAATTTCAATAATATAGAATATATAAAGTGATTTATTGCATCTTTTTTTTACTTTTATTATAAAAATCAATTCTATTGTATTCAAAATTGATAGTGAAACATTTTGTATAGGTGCCAGGTTAATTTTTTACACCCAGAAAAGCCATTTGTTGATAGTGGGGAAAATGTGTTTGCTTTGTTTTGTGACATCCCTTTCATTTTTACTTCTTGTTTACACTTTGTAGCAATGTGGCCTGAGTTTGAAGTTTAATCAAGTCATTGCACAGTTGTTTAATTATTCTACCAAAGAATTAAAACAAAAGTTATTATCCTCATTTAGTTTTTACTTTTATTATATTTTAAATGAAATGTACCATGCTCAAGTCAATTTAAAAACTGGTTTCTTTATTTGCTTCTTCTACTTTGCAATGAAGTAAAATTATGTAAATCTCTCAACATAATATTTTGTTTTATTAGATTTTTTAATTTGTATAAAACATTGATATTGATGTTGTAAAATCACTTTTTTTTAGCTGTATATATTCATTCTTTTAACTTTTTCTCCACACTATTCAAGCAAACATTGGTGAAATAATTTTTTGAAGTATACATTGTTTTTCTTTAATTTTAGTTCAGTTATATTAGCTGTAATACATTTGTTTAAATAATGAAATTGTGAAGGCAACAGTTTCTTAATTGTTATACTTCTAACGGTAATGTGGTACAAGATCACTTGTCAGTTCAAAGACATTGGTCAACTTTTCTTGACTATAACATTGGCTATATGTTTGAGCTGTTATGGAAACTATGTTTGTATGAAAGTCAGCATCAAAATGTGTATTACATAAATTAAATGTTTTAACAGTTTCAACCAGTAGTAGTTTTCAATGTAGCGCTTTGTTTAGAAACGAAAGTGGTTGAAAGAGTGTGTGTGTGATGCATACTATCAAGATAAAAGAACTTAAAAAATTTGTATGTAAAATTTTTAAACAACAAAAATGAGAATGGAAATTGAGGACCACTAGAAGGTCAAAAGCCATTATGATGTTGATTTAAATAACAGTTAGCATATATTTTTTTCTTTGTGTGAGATGTTCAAATCTTATGTTTTCTTAAGAAGCTGAAGAAATAATTTTAAGATCTCTTGAGAATAAATAAACAAGTAAAAGTCAATCAACGTGATTTTTCTGATCTGTGGATTGCATCGAGGCTTAACGCTTACTTTTCCTCTGATGGGAAACCTAAGTTTTTACCAGTTCCAAACTGCCAGTTAGCTTGGTTTGTTTATTCTGTCGCTGAAGACTAATGTAAAAAAAATTTATGAATGTATTAAATTTTATTTTTGTAATAGAGTAAATATTAAATGTCCTTATTAAAAAAAATTTTGCCAAGAAATTGTTTCAAAATTTTTTAATGGCTTTTTTTTTTTTTTTTTTACCAAGATTAACACTAATTTCATTAACTATGTGGCAAGATAAATTTATTTTTCTATATTTTAGAGTTTGTACTTCACTTTATTTATTTTTTTAATATTTTTTTTTTTTTTTTTTTTTTTTTTTTTTACCAAGAGTAACACTAATTTCATGAACTATGTGGCAAGATAAATTTATTGTTCTATATTCTAGAGTTTGTACTTCACATTATTTGCATCAGAAGTGTAGAGAACAAGATAACAAATGTTATTTTGTTTGTTTCTTATTTTGTTTTCATGTCCTCAATACCATCATGTCAAAGAAATAATATTCTTGAGCGTAAGATAATTTAATATACTGTAGTTAATTGAAAAGATAGAATTGTGTACAAACTAACTGCTAAATAAATATAAGTAAATGAAAATGTAATTTCTTTTTAAGACAAACATTATACCATAATTTTCAAAGAGAATATGGATAATATGAGCTGAAATAAGCATGAAGAAATTAATTTTTATAGTTCTGCTGGGGTGGGAATAAATGAAAATGTGGAGTTTGAAACTGTCTGAATGTAAATCTACCCACAAATTATCTGTTGCTAAGCCCCTCTAGAAATGTTTATTATATTCTTTAGAACAAATTCACATTGGTTTATGTGGAAGTGCTTTTCTTTTCAGTAAATAAGTGGTGTAATAAGATGTTTCATATGAAAAACAGACAGGACAATGAAACAGACGTTTTGGCTACATGCTTTCTTCGTATAGATTTAAATTAAAAATAAAACTTATATTTTTTAAGCTCTCAATAATGTCAATTTAGCTTAAAATTTATAAGCTCAGGATATAGAGGTGATTCTGGTCTCAGGCTGTTTCTTATGATTTTATTTTCTGCTGAAGAAGGCATCGAGCTGAAACATCCATTTCTTTGTCTTGTCTTTGTTTTTTGTTTTTTCAAGCCTAAAAATATCTTGTCACTATTTATTTACTTCATGCCGCTTTGAACGCAGTCTCTTATATATTTTTTCCTTTTAAGTGTTCCTTTCTCAATGCAAACTTCTCCCCGACTTATGCTTATGCTTACAGCTTTTAAAATTGCTATACAAAAATCAAAATTTTCATTTGGCCTGAAGTAATATTTCACTTTTTTGGAAATACAAATTGGTATAAATGTAACAGAAAGCAACCATGAGGCTATCGATGACTTAATGAATTTATAACTCTCTTTTCATTGTAAATATTTTTGTGAGCTACCAATGTCATGTACATGATCATGCTTTTTAAAATACCACTAGCAGTTCATTCCAATACAGTTTAACAAATGCTTTTTTTTTTTCAAAATTAAATGATAAATAAATTGGAAATCCATAGAACTCTGGTAAAAATTGAAAAATTAAATACATTTTCAACTGTCATTCTTAATGGGAAATGCCATTATTTTATTGGCTTTGAGAAAGTTAAAGTGGCAAGATGTTATGAAATTATGGCACAGAAGCTTAGAGGCTTGTTTAGAAAAGATTTATTTCCAAAATGTACTACCAGTCTTCCAAATTATAGGATTGCAAAATCAGTAAACTTCTCTTGTAAAGATACCCTCCAAAAATATGTTTTAAAACATAAGTCATTTGATTATTCAATCTAATGCATCCTTTTTGCCATAACGTTTTTAAAAATCTTTTGATTCATTGAATGTTTCTTTTAACTTGATTTTTAAAAATTGCATTTAATTTAATTCTGTTGAAATACCGGTATATAGATTTGTATTCACTTTTTGTAAATGAAAAAAAAATGGCTTCTCAACTAATGCACGAAGTTGTCTAAAGTTGGTACTTCATTTTAATTTGGGAAAAGGTCATTGTCTTACTTGCTCAATTGAAGGAATATTTCTTTTATTTGTGCATCACAACTTGTTTACTTTCAGGGAGGAATACATCTTTTGGGTAACAAGAGAAAGAAACCCTCCTTGCTCTAGAAGAAGGCATACAAACCTCATCAGGCTTTGACAGATCAGCACAGTATCAACCACTCATTTTTAATCTTGCCTCTAAAGAAAATTTGTAATGGTAGAGGGGCTTGGCTAGGATTGTTTATCTGAGGAGGATATTGGACCCAAAAAATTCTTTCATGTGCTACCAGCCCTTGAAGAACATTCTAACGTGTTATTGAAAATTTGTTGTTTCAGGATGATCTTGCGTGATTTCTAGCCTGCTGGTGGATGACAACGATGGTGAGGCAGCCACAGAATTTAGAGGCAAACACAGAGAAAAGTAAAAGCAAATGTGCAACCAATATCCTGATGGTGACCTCATTTTCATCTATATTTTTACCAGAAGGCCCGAAACCGGATTCACTTCTATATCCAGAGCTTAATAAATTTAATTTAGTAAGTAACTATTATTAGACCGATTTTGAGGCGGTCCGTTATTGTTTAACTAATGGAAAATAGTAAAATATATTTGAGCCTCAATAAAAATTGAATCCTTTCAAGTTTTGAACTAATGGAGACTCTTTAAATCTGCTGGCTTACAAACTAAAGCTTTTTGATTTACAAAGTACTTCCTCATTTGTTATATGCAGAGATTGCTAGTTCCCTTATATTAATAGTATAAAATATCTTTAAACTGATCTATGTAGCCTCAGAAGCAAAAGAAGTTATACAGTTAATAAATACATTTAACAGATTCACATGCACTAGGGCTGTTGATGCAAAAAGACCAGCAAACTTGATTTTTAGTGAAAGATCAAAGAAAATGAGTGTGTATGATAAGGTGCTATTTTTGCTTATTATTGTCACACTATCTTTTGTTCCTGCTAATGGAGAAAATTCTTTTATTTTTATCCACTGGCACCAACAGACACCCAAAAAAAATATTTTAAAAAGTAAATAATTCACTCACAACAAAATTTAACATAAATCATCCAACTTAAAATTATTAATTGGAAATTTCAAAATTGCTTTAGAGGACCATTCCGTGTAATGTATTCCTGTATTATCTGTGCTAAAGAATAGGTTGAATGGTACAATAAAAAAAAAAAAGATCATGGTTGCTGGTCATTAACAGAAATAATATTGTATATTTGCATTAAAAATGTGACAAAAAGTGCAGTTCTGTTTATTATTTTTTCAAACATAAATTTAAACTCATATTTATAGTTTCAGAGGTTTATAAATGCATTTTTGTTTCTCAACATTTTTTTTTTTTATAAAGAATTATGTTTATTGTTACCCAGTTATTTTGTTTGGACACAATTTATCAGTTGGAATTATAGAATGACTTGATTACAAAACTTCAATTATACTTCATTATTAAATTTTCATCATTAAATTTTCATTTTATATTTTTTTTACATAAAATAAATAATTTCAGAAGTTGATTTTCTCTATCTTTTTTTCTTCTATTTCACCAAATATATACTTGTCAAGTTAATTTTTATTTCATCCAAAAAAAAATTAAGTGAAATCATTTTTTTTGCTGACATTGTTTCTGGTCGTTGTTTAGGTCAAGTTATTTCATTCAGAGAATTTAGCCATCATTTATTTCTACCACTGCCTTTGCTTGATAAGTAGCATTATTTTAATTTATTTCAATACTTGAATTGAAATATAAAGGGGGGAAAAAAAGGCAATTAGTGTATGATAATTTCAATAATGTAATTTTATTGAGACATTCAAAGTCATGTCACATCATTCAATATGTACATGATTTTTGCAGTCCAAATGAAATTTCTGCAACTTTACTATAAATAATATTTTGTTTAGATCATGCATTGTTCATAAATGTTGAGATGGTTTTTTTTTGTTGTTTTTCCATTACATATTATTGTTTTTGAGTGAAAGTGGTTATGTAGCTGCATGTTGGAAATTACAAATGTTTACCAACTATGACTATGGATTGTGTCACTTTGTGCTTATAAAATGGCTGAATGGATGGCCGACTCATCTTGAGTGTGAAATGAGAAATAGCATTGCCTGCAGGTATGAAGAAAAGGTTGTTTTGTTACTACCTCGTGAGTTGTATCCCTATAAGTTAAGTTTACTGCAGTCAACCATGCCTCTATGGATGAACATTAGCTTCCTTTGCTATATAAAAGATATATAAAATGATTCCTATTAACTCTAACATATAAATTATCACTTATCAACAATATCCACTAAAATTTTACAAATTTTATTTCTAGTTTTGTGTGTATTTACTTAATTGGGATTACTGAGTTTTTTGCTTTGTTAGAAATAGTTTCAGTTCAAACATTTTAACAAGTCTATAATACCATTAAAAATCCAATTGTAACTTGCGAGCTTAATTTTTTTATTTTTACAGCAGCAAGTACTTCCATGCATAAATTGTTGGAAAAAAATTAATTGCTTTATTTTTACGACAAAACAGTTTTTAAAAGAACGTAAGTACCTAAAAAATATAGCTTTCATTTATATTGCAACAATCTTAGAGATTAATTTGAAATTTTTTGGACAGCTGATATATTGTTAACAAATAATAACAAACAAATTTGTACTTTACTGTTGCTGGTGAAACTTTTCTGAGGAATTGCTTTTTTAATTTTGATTATGAACCTACTGCCGAGTCATGGTGATAACATATATTCTTAGAGCAATAAATTTCCAAATATGTCTTCAAGTATTTGTACCACCATTTTTCTTTAAAGTTCCACATTTAATGGTGCTGAAATAGATATCCGTCTCATCAATTAAAAATCTGCATTATCTAGATGAAGTGCAGCTGCTGGAACCTTGTCTGTCTGTTGTGAAGAATTCATTAATATTTTTCAAACTGTTTATGAAACAATAAAGTTAACTTTAAAAGCCTCCATTTTTAAAAAAATTGCATACTGGTCTAGTGTGGTCAATAATAATTTTAATTTTTAAACTGCTAATTAGGTATTACAAAAGACATTGGCGAAAGTCATGAAGTAGATATTTTTTCTTTAAGTAACAGAACAATGCATTAATATCTTCTCTCTTGTGATATCTTGTGACCCTCACATTTTATTTCTGTTAATAATGCTCACACCATTAAATCATGTTCATCATATTATTAAAGCTATTTTACATAGATAACACCAGGTCTATTCTTACTTAATAACCAAGTTAGGTATGTTTTCAAACTAGATTTGTTGAAGAAAATTGTTTAGAAATTACATAAAGTAGAAATAGCATGCACTTGTAGGAATAAGTATATTTGACTGATGAATTTAGGGAGGGCTTGAGCTATAAAACATTGTTAAGAAATCTTCAGCATTTTTAGATTTGAACATGGTAAAAGTTTTACAAAAAAAACAAAAAAAAAACATTTATACATTTTGAAAATTATTTTAGCGGCTACTTTATATTGATTGTTTTGTTTTCCTCAGATAATTGTTTATGAATGCCATGAGTGTTTGTTATTTTTGAATAAGTTTGTTAGTTTGCTTGAGATGTGTATAATTTTATAAGTTTAATTAAATTTTAAAAAGCTGTTTATCCGTCTTTATAAAATGTTAGTTTATTGCACGCTGTACATGTCTCATTTTCGTTGTCATTAAAATCACTACTATTCATTATCACCAAAGATATAACAAAAAAATACATTAAAATAGATTTAAAATAAAAACTGTTTCTTGTGGCATTGTATTAACTATTAATCACTGATAGCTAGTACTACTGACAGCTTTCCAAATATCACTTGGTCCTGACAACTTCATTCAACCACCACTTAACGCTCAATCTTACCCTTACCAAGCATGTAACCACCACATTTATAATGAAAACATGAACTGCCTATTTTCTGTTTTCATCTAATCAATTAAATGGAAGTGATTGGTAAAAGCCATGGGGTATGAAATTTTTTTTTTTACAATTCACAAAAATAATGACTTTAAAAAAAGATTATTTTATAAAAAATTAATCTATTCAGGTCATCCAAAAATCACCTCCTGACCTGTTGTTCCCATAGTTGCCAGAATTCTTATAAGATATTTTATATCTAATCCTGTATTTTTGTATGTGGTGTATAATTTTGATTTAACCGTTAAGCCCAGGCAAATAAATATGTAATCTCATGTTTTTTTCTCATTTTGTTCTGATATCACTGATTGGAGTATTTATCATTTTTAGCTTCAGAAACAGTTTAGTGTGATTGAGGTTTTTCTTTCCATTTTGACTTGTGTGGATATGAAAGTGCTGTAGCGTCATTGCAATAGAACAGTGTTAGTATTATATTTGTTCTGCAGATGACTGAATTTTGAAAAACATTTTATGGCATTGCTGGTTTTTCATGGGATTTGAATGACCTTTTTTTTTATGTATATTTGTCCTTATATTGAGTGTTTAATATATTTTTTAATGTGTGCAGTTGTGTACAGTATTGTGAGCAAGTTTTTTTGTACAGTTGTGTACATGTATCGTTTTAGATTTAATTATAGAAAACTTTTATCAAACATTTGTCAAAGAATGATGGCCACCCTTAAACATAGTAAAATGTTAAAATTCCAGACTTATTTATTTTGGTCACTTTGGATGAATCCTGTACTGATACTAAAAAGCCAACAATGCCTTTGTTTTTAGCTATTTAAATGCTTACTGTTAAATATATATATGTTCTTGATTTGAAAAACAGAGCGTCCAAATCACATTTTAAAATTAATCTATTTCTTCACTTAAGTTATTTAAAGTGATATGGCCATCATTTTCTTTGGCACAAAATCTGGAATGTAATTTGCCTGTTGCAAATTGTAGAAATTAAAATTTCTGAACTTTTATAAAACTTTGTGTTCTCATTCTGAAATTCATACTCTAAAGAAACAGGTTGAATCATTAGCTCATTTAATACTAGTGGATAAAACTTTGTGTTCTCATTCTGAAATTCATACTCTAAAGAAACAGGTTGAATCATTAGCTCATTTAATACTAGTGGATGGAATTTTACTTGAAGAATGAAATTTTGCACAAATTCCAAAGTGACTACAAGTATATGACTACAAGTATATAACTATAAACAAAATTTCTAAACACATGAGATTTTATGCATGGGAATGTAATGTAATATTTTAATATAAACTTCTCAATAGACATGCACACAAAAATAATCTATAAATATGATACATCAATTTTTCATTAAAGACATTAACAAAAGGGTTTTACTATATATTGTACATACAATATTTAAGTCATTTAATATGGTAAGTGATATGGTACACTGCTGCATATAATAAGAAATTATGGTGCCACCATCTGACACAAGCATTAAGCTGAAAACAGGCCTAGTCTTCCAACACTAAAAAGGACGGCTAAATATGTGGGCAATTTATAAATAAATTTTAATTAATAAATTTTAATTTTCTTTTTTATCACCCTAAATGTGCTACAAGCTCCACCCATTATTTTATTGTAAGAAAATTTAGAAATGAGATATCTAAGGATTGTTTAAAAAATATCTTTAGAATTTATGAAATCTAATAAAGATTTGATAAAAGGAAGAGTTAATTTTTAAAAATAGCATAAAACCATTGCATTTATATACTTTTTTTTCTTTCTTCAAAATGAATCCCACCATCTCCAACTTTAAGCATCAGAAAAATATGGCCAATAAAATGAAAGATATTTAAAATATCTTTTTTTAAATATTATGCAAGAGATATAAATTAAAAGAAACCATCATTTACCATCAAGTCAGTTTCGTCCACACATTCATTCTTTATGAAAATATTTTGGGAAACTGAGACTCATACATACATCAGTAATTACTCAAAAGTAATTCATTTTTTATGATATGGCAAACTGAAGAATTCTTAGTTTTGGAAATACATTGTAATTAAATAATGAGTTTATGAGATCGTAAATATAGTCTACTCATTTGCCAGAAGTCTGGACATTTATTTCTTTATTAGTTTTAAAAATAATTTTATAGTCCCTGAAATTTTTATAGAACAACCCGACCCATTTTAAAACTAGCTGATGTTTATGTCATAGGAGGACCACAGATTTTATGAGCGACATCAACACATACACGAAAAAGAGCATTGCACATTTTCATTTTAAGTATACAAATATAAGAGATAAAATTTCAATGGTTCAAAACCAGCCTTTTTTTTTTTTTCTTTTGGTTAAGTTTTACATCAATTATTTACAAAGCTGATTGGACCATGGATCCCTAATATCTCTTTCCTTAAACATGAATTAATATAAATTAAAACATGACATTATAGCAACAAAAAAAGGGATGAAAACTTGTTTTAATTTATGAAGAGACAACATATTTTCTCCTTACTAGTCAGGTTCATAAGATTGTAGCAAGATTTTTCTAAAAAAGGAATACAAATTGACTGTTTTTGGGGCACTTTTACTGCAAAGTAAGATAAGACCTACACTGTCATATAGTATAATATAGGTTTGTGCATCTACTCTATCGTAATAGGTTTGTGCATCTACTCTATCATAATAATTTGCTTGAATGCCAAACAGCCAATACTTCTTAGATATTGGAATGGTGGGTCGCAGAATTTTAGTTAGTGTACAGAGTTTAAAAATATTGAACATTTTTGCTTCTGACTACTACCTACATAAATATATACACATCTATATTTATCTAAAATGTGTTTCAATTTTCTGATTTTTTAAAAAATTAAATGACACAGACAAGATAAAAGTTCTACTAAGTTACAGGGTTTCACAAGAGAAAGGAGAAATTATTATTCAATTATTTTTTTACACGTCTGGATAGTAAAATATTTTATAAATGGATGTTATTTGGTTTCTGTTTTTTAAAAAATTGCCTCTACATCTTTTTAAAAAAATATAGGGGTGTAGGACACACCAGTGTCACTTCCAGTATTCATCAAACTTGGAAAAATCCAGTTTTTTGGAGAGTTAGTTTGGACTAAAGATATGATCTGTGTATGACTGCAAGAGCCGCCCCCCCCTCTCCCCCCGCCCCTTTTCTTTTATTCATAAAAACATCTTGTTTTACTAAAATGCTAGTGATGATGCTATTTTCCAGAATATGAATAAATAAAACTGCAATGATGATGTAAATTTTAACTAAATAAATAAACTTTTAATTTGCAATACACCATTATCTCAGGTTGATCATATAGAATCCACCAGACAATAACCCCTGTCGTATCCTCTGTTTATGCTTCTAAGATTAACAGTGTTAGAGATATTTCACTTAAGTTCAGCCCTCTAAATAAAACCATTCTAGTAGGATGGCTCTGTGCAAGGAAAGAGGTCAAGGGATCGCAAACCTGTAGTTTTCCAAACATATGTTAGATATAGTGAAAAACAACTTTCTAAGAACTATATATTAGTAAACAGTTAAATTCAGTAATGAATGATTTAAATATTTCTTGTTCAAGTTGGAATAATTAATATAAATTAAAATAAAATCTTTAATTTTTCAAAAATAGAAAAACAATTTCAATGACTTAAAGCAAAAATTTAGCTTTTAGTTTTAATAAATTGATAAATTCTGCTTCCCTTGCACCTTTGTGATGAAATGTGGATTTTTAAAATTGTTCATAACAATACAATTAAATGGAAAATTAAAGTAAAAATTAACAAGTACACCTATTTTAAACCATTATTTCAGAATTGCATTGATTTGTTGTGTTAGTGCTCATAATAAGAAACATAACATTTAACAATACCCAGTTATTTCCTTATGCTTCACTGTCTTTCCATAAAGAAATATTTATATAAATATATTATCTTAGTTTATTTTTGGCATTAAAAACTACTTGAGCAATATAAAAGCCCCATAACATGAACAGACTTATGTATATAATTGCATGAGAGTTTTGTAATATAAAATGAATCAAGTTATAACATTTTTTTTTCAAAATGTAACTTCAGACTCCATTTTCCTTGAAATTTTAGAATTGTGCTAATCACCTGCTTCATTTATCAAACTTTGTTTTCATGTTTCCTTAGCTCCCATGCCAACAAATTTAGTTATTTTATGTGCCATTTCTCAATTCTCTGATTACAATTTCTGTTTTCCTCAAAATGTAAAACAATAAAATACAGGCACTAATTGACATATGTCTGAAAGTCACAAAGTAAAAAATGTATTTATTCACACAGCATTTTTACAGTACCTATAAATAGCAGAGCGTGAATAAATATTTTCTAGATTGAAAAGTCTTGGTTGTGAGTGCCACATAAAACTGTCCTTTCTTTGTTACTTAATAATACAAGTTTTAGATATTATTCAAGTCAATTAGTGCCAATATAATTTTTTTCTTAACCATTAGTTTTCACTGTAGCACTGTAAATATTTTTTTAATTTCTGACTTAAAATTTTCTAAATAATGTGTCTGAAATGGACATTATTTTTTTCACATAAATGTATTTTAATATTAGCCTGTTTCACATGTGATTTACAATCTTGAAGCAACAGAAATGACATAAATACTTCCATACAAACCTGTAACCCTGCTTTGAGCTGCACTAGAATGAATGTCTTATTAGCTTGAGACAATGCCTCATTTCCTAAACTCACTCAATGACATTCACAAAAATTGGCCTTGACTGTGTGTTCCAATTTAGAAATGAGTAAGTCATACTTCTGCACCAAGGTCTAGAACCCCACTCTCAGCAATGGGAACAAAGTGGTCCTTGAGTTGCACTAGAATAATTGTTTTGTCTGTGTGTGACCTCTTAGTTGGGTCAGTGTTACCAGGGGTCCATCGATGAACAACTGTACCTTCCATACCCTTTTTGGGGGTCCAGTCTTTCCATCCACTTTTGCCACCTGCAGTTCGCCAGTCATCATTTGGCCACTGCACATCAACTCGCCGTCCAAGATTGATAGCCTCATATACAAGGCCAGGATCCATTATCTATCATCATGAAATGAGAAAGGTGAAAAGTTTAAAAATGATAGATAGCTACATAAACATTTTACAGTGAGTGGTTCACAATAAATCTTTTAAAATATATAGATTATAAATTTTAGATTAGATGAAATTGGGATCATCATTATATTAATAATTTATGGAAAAATAATGAACTTATTTAAAACAGATTCAAGATGTTCATTTTGTCATTAGTTACGATGAACTGACATTGCAATGACAACGTACTTTGATATTATGTGCACATCAACAAAAGCGACAATGCAATTAATTAATTTAACATCAATCCACCTTTTGCAGTATTATAAACCACATGGGTTATAATAAAATTAGAATGTTTTTAAATACGGATTTGTAATCATTCATTTATGTCTCCTGAAAAAAATTAGCACAAAACTTCTGACATGGCTAAATTTGTATATTCTTTAGTATCTGTAATAAAGAATAATATATGAGGGACTGCATTCAAGTTGTGTAAAATAAATACACACGATTTTTTTGTCTGATCTGTAAGAAACTGCTCTGAGCTAAAGCATAATTGAAGGACTGCATTCAAGCTATGTGAATGAAATAGTATAACAAGGTAAGTAGAAATACAGTGTTTGGAGTGCTTAGAGACAAGTCCCACAACGGCTTCTTGAGCTTGGTAATAATCAAATACTGTCCTACTTATGTTTCTCAATTTCCCCGTATTTCTACTTTTTTCTCAATGCTCCCTAAATTTTATGCATCCCTAAATATTTTGGTCCGTTAAAATTCTGGACTTTATTTTTTCACAGTACCAATATTTATATTCATTCACTTCATGTAATCCTACTTCCGGCAACAACAAAGGAGATCTCTAAAGCTTTTTACTATGCTCTGTTTCTTGTCATATTTTCATTTGTCCTGTTGGCTGAAGAAG